ATAATTTTGTAGAGAATTTCAAGCGCTATCTTTTAGTATAAAAAGATGTCCCGATCTAATGGATAATAGAAGAGTTATACTCAAAATACGAATGGTATAATTTATTCTGGGACACCCGTTACAACAACCAGAATCATCACAGCAACCAGCACCACGATAACGACGTCGACTACAACAACAATGACAACTGTGGCTGCTGGTAAGCAGGCGACGTTTTCAGGCCATTAAAGTAAATGCCGTTCACGTTTGAAAAATGTTCTTCACGTTAGTGGAAATGTCCGAGGCTTGTAACTGATGTCACCTGAATACTGAAGTATTGAAAAACTATTACAGGAATCACATATATAACAGTATCTCTTGATTTGATTAGTATCATCATAGATGCAGAAAATATTTGTCGAGTTTGTAAACATTTATTTGTGTCCCAAGCGATTGGGGATAACGATGCCCAACAGCATTTGGTTAGGCATTTTTGCTATCTTAGGGTTTCATCCGAAAATTAACAAAGCTTGGTGATCCAAATCTTGGAGTCATCGATTTAATATGTTTCATGCACTATATTACACTGTAAAAACTCGAAATTTACGATTGGTCGATTTAGGCTGTGTGAGGCAAGAAAAATCATTTTGTCATTATCGATAGAGCATACTTGAATGCATGTATATGAATAAATACACAAACAAATCGATTTAGAAAGTGTGAGCAAAGATTACAATGAAAAGTAGAAGACTAAAATATATTTGCTCTTATAATTTTGAGCGGTACTGTACATATTGAAATGTATTCGGTTATAAGAAGAATTTCTTTCTTTTTTTTGGATTCGCTTTTAGTTATATCACACAAATAAGAGATATTGATATCATGCAAAACGCTTTTTCAAAATTCTATCAAAAAAGTTTATCAGTGCAGTTTCGGACGATGTTAAAGTGTGAAACTCACATAACAATTTGATAGTCATACAGGAAAAGTGAATTTGAGACTCCTAGGCTTCACTTGTATTGCTGAATTTAAAAAAAAAATTATTTCATAAGAAAAAAAATAACAATTAAAAATTGTATAGATCTAAACGAAGTCCGTTAAGAAATGAAGAAGAGAAATAAAGACCTGAAAAATCAAAGTAACCAATGCGCTGAAAAAGAAGTACGATGCGGCTTCGAAGTGTATTCTTCTTTCAATATTCTTTTTCAGATATGACATAAATCAGATTAGATAATCGATATTCAAGCAAGACTCTTTCTAAAAGAACAAATATCTGTAAAGGTGTACCAGCCTCCGAGTTAGAATTAAAACTTTCACTCATTCTTATATAGCGCACTTCACAAAAACTGAGGCTTAAGAATAGCATAGATGTGTTATTTTTTATGTTGGCAAAGAAAAAGTCGAATGCCTTGGAAATAGAATTAATTATTTTGTCGAAAGTCTTCTCATAGTTCGTTTGTATTACTTGAATATATAAAAGACGACGCAGACTGAACAGTACTTTTCAAAGTTTTGACGTAGTACCTCATCATCGTTTGTGTATTTCTAGACAATTTTTGGCCCATAAGCCTGTTTTATCCATCAAATCTCGCACAAGAAATCTGTCCGAAAAATTACTCTTGGACAATGTGGTTCAACGTAGGCCACCCGAATAGTTCAACCAGCACTGACATGGAAGATATGAACATCATACTTGCTCAAAATCCTACAAGTATGTGTCCTGTTCCATTCAGCATAGAAGCACAATCGGTTAACACTCGAATATCTAGTTATTCGGTTCAATGGATATGGAGTCAACCGAACAATACACTTTATCTTCTATCGTTCCAGTCAGTTGCACCAGTTGGTGTCGATTTTCGCGTTCGATACTGCTGCCCAGCAGGTTCATTCGTTACCCCAATAACAACTACTACACCTATGCCTTTTGATAGTATTACTTGTGGTAAACAAGCAATTGCTCCACGATTAAACTTAATGAATCGAATCTTTGGTGGAACGGATGCCATCCCCAATTCTTGGCCTTGGGTGAGTATTCAACAATGAATGTACTTGTTCTATACTTATTTTTGTTGTCTACGTAGATGATTTACTATCAAGAGGAGAAATTATGTGGAACCAATTTGTGTTATGGTGTATGTGGTGGCACTTTAATTAGCGGAGATTATGTGCTCACAGCCGCTCACTGCATTGGAACAAACAATCCATCAAATATTATCTTGACTGCCGGTATGCATAATCTACTATCGACTACAGAGACGAGCATGCGACAAGTCAGCACTGTTCGAGCAATCTATATTCATCCGCAATACGATCCAACATTATTTATCAACGACATTGCTGTACTACATGTGACTACACCATTCACATTCACTCAGTATGTTCAACCGGCATGTTTGCCTGGTGCTGAACCACAACCCGATGACCAAGTAGTTATCGCTGGATGGGGTACCCGAATCTTCGCTGGTGTACTCAATGATATACTGCAGCAAACCTATACGAAGATCGTTGGTATGTGCGAGAGATGGTGGTCATTTGTAGATAGCTCTCGACAGATATGTGTTGCTGATCGGATCAATGGCAGTTCGGCATGTCAAGGTGACAGTGGTGGGCCCATTCTATCTCAATATCAAGGGCAATATGTCGTCTCGGGTATAGCTAGTTATACACGCGATTGTAACACAGCTGGTGCTGAAAATCCACCTAATGTTTATACACGTGTAGCAGCCTACAAGACCTGGATTAAAGGCATCACTGGGTGAAAATACAGCACATAAACAATTTCAGTAACACGATCGAGTTATTATTTCTCTAGACAAAACAATTAGTTGATGTTTTGATCGCAACTTTCTAAAATTTTCATCGTTTCTAAAATTATTCGATTTTATGATTTTTAATCACCCGACTTTTTTAGTTACTCGTTACACTTTTTGTATTCTCATATGCACATCTCGTGTTCTTGCGTTAATATCTATCGCTTATTTTCTCATCGTTACTATCTACTATTTTTGCTGGTAAACAACAGATTCAGTTTATAGCTCGTGAATTATTTAACTAATAACCAGATAGTTTGAGATCCAGTTAGCTAGAACTGTTGCATACTTAGTTTCCTTAATTTTAATAAACACAGACATGTGCCTTATCTGGAAAATTATTTTAGTTGTCTTCTTCCATTCATCTCTGTTTGTTTTTTCTGTAGTAGTTCACTTATATAATGTTTCTTAATATATCAATTCAAGAGAAAAATAGCGGAGACTTCGATCTTGGACTCTAGACGTCAGTTGGTTACCCCTCGTATGGGGCTTGCATTTAAGTGAAAATTTATTTGTCATGAAGAAGACATAATCGAAGCATTGTTGGTTTCTAGCCTTTATATAAAACTACAAGAGCAGTACATTAATCATCTACATTATCAGGTTTTAATCATGAACGACGTTCAATAAAGCTCATGCTACTGTAAAATGAATAAGATTATCTTTCTTCTTCTCAAATCTTATATTGTTTCATTTTCAATGAGTTATCCACCAAAATATATCCATACTCGATTCGTGAAATTTTCTACAAATTATACATCAAGATCATCAATTTTGCCATCGATTGATAATGGCAACAACTTTCCTATTATATATGGTCAAATATTAAACAAATCGATAGTGTATGAACATCAATTACAGCTTCATGAATATCAACAACAATTCATTTAAGCGATAAAGATACAGTAGATAATCCAATAATTAAAACACGAATCGTCAGAAACTTCAAATAGATTACTAATCTAATTATTCATTATATATACGAAAACAACTCGAAAGCTATAACAAAGAGTGAGTCATAATCATCGATAATATTCACAAAAATTAAACTCTCTCATCCTATAACTATTTGCAATCTTATCCGTCACATATCTTCTACAATTTTTCGGTAAATGATTTCTTTACTTCTTAATCATTCAATAGAAACCAACATTTATCAAAACTACTCCTTAAAAAATACAAAATCATCATTTCTCCTTAAAGTTTCTTGTTAATTGTTTAGATTAATACTTAAGTAATCTGGTTTCTAATTTTTTAAAAATTAGAACAGAACTTACACAGTTTAAAGATGAAAATATCTTAGGCGATTCTTGAACAAGATCGAAGCGCATCATAGTTGTTTATCTCACACTCATTCTCACTTCTGTTAGTCTCACAAGTGTCACTGGCATAACTTCACCAGTCTTGTTAATATGTCTGTCTCACCATATTAACTAATATGCTTCTATTTGCATTATTTCACAACTAGACACTCGAGGTAACATAAGATACATTGTAATAACATTTGTTGGTAATTGTTTTACACTAAAGATTAGCATACAAAGCCGAGGATGGCATAGTGGTTCTATGCATCTGACTATTAGTCAGACATCAGAAGGTTCGATTCCTTCTCTCGGCATGGTATGTGACCTCGATTTTAAAAATAAAAAGATATACGGTGATGGAAGAATAGACGCAATGAAGGAAAGGAAAAACAATACATGTGGACATGGTCATAGCTGCCTTGCCAAGATTGTTTATTTTCTATTCTTTGTAATTCTGTTCTCTGTATGTGTTATGTTATTGATTTATCTGTAAACCGAATGAAAAATGGCACAGTAAGAATAAATTTAAAAAAAAAAAAAGATTAGCATACAATCAACTGCAGTGACATATGAATATAACATAGTTAACTGAATCATCTATTATCAACTGCTTTTTTTTCAAGATTTGATATAATATACTTTTCGTTAGTTTCTATATTCTGACGCTGATAAAAGAGCACATCAGGCATCTTTACATTAATAATTTACTTTTTTTAAAAACTGAAAATTAGAAATGGCACTTTAATTTTACTGTACCAGGTAAAGTAAAGTAACTCAACTTTACGTTTTCGAAGTTAAAACAAGGCAAAGTGCTACTCCTACTACAAATTGCCTTAGAAAATAGTATTGTGTCAATTTAATTTAGTTAAGTTCAACAAAAATATTTCACGATGCGAAAAAAATATTGAAAGTCGAAATGTTTACCAATTAGTTTTATTTTATTTTTATTTTGCGTTTATTTATTGTGTCTCGCAGAGGAAGAGATGTACAGTAATGTGCTGCAATTTTGCTAAAGTAATGATTCACAAACAGAACGGTGAATGAATAAAAAAATTATGTTTATTTTCTTTCAACGAAGCGAAAAAACAAACATGATGAGAAGAGCTCATGTATATACTGTTCTACCGAGCACACAGTGTGGAAACCGTTCTCTAAACGCATTAAGGAGGGAGGCCGCATCAAATTTTAAAATGAATTGGTTTTTTCCGCAACTATTGTTTGATTCAGCTTTAAGTTAAAGGAAATTTTCTTTTATATTTCGATTAATTTACAACATTAATGCGTCTTGTCTTACATTATCTAAGGATAAGTCGAGATCATTGGAAAATGGAATATCTAAAGAAAGAACGAAGTCGATCTGCAAAATTAAATGACATTTGAAATGACGAACTGATTTAGTTCTATATAAATTTTTTAAAATTGTTTCATTATCTTTTGTGAAATCATTATTTATGTAAATCAATACAAAGAATTAAATAAGATTAATCTGAATGTGTCATATGTGTATTATGAATATTGTATCTTGCTCAGTAATTCAATATGTAAATGAAAGTAGTCATATGTCGTATGCATAGTTTTTGTCAATATAAATGATTCATATCAACTATATGAATAAAGGCTTGTTATTTGTCGCACTCTGTTTTAAATAAACAGAAAACAGCATGGTATACAAACAAATAGAAAAAAATTGAATCAATAGTTCAAAAACTTCGTTTTTAAATAAATTTTAGATTCGTTTTGATTAATTGTTTGTATTATTGTAAAATAAACATGAATTTGATTATTTAATATATCTTAAAAATAAATAAAACTGTCAATTTTATGTTTATATTTTTTTAGATCAATTTAATTTAATCAATATTAAAATATTTGAATGATACAATTTAATAATTTTTTCAAAATATTTATAATCATAAAAATCAATTCGTTTATTAATTTATTAATAATGTTGGTTAAATGTTTCAAAACATAAAGAGAAATCAATTTAATTATTATAAATTCATCTTGTATAGTTACAAGTATATATATCTCAAAAGTGAAATCATTATTTCGTAGATCAAATTTCAAATTGAAAAATCTCCATTTCTAAATGTACTCATGATCACGATGCTGGCAAATTTTCATTCCGAATTTCATTGATTTTTGTGAACTATTTTTCGAATCATAATGCACTATGAAAGGTTACAGCGAGGACAAAAATAAGATTCGCATATTTATCAATATAGGAAGAAAAAAAATGTCATCATGGCTATTGTATCTACCCTTGTCGAACTTTTTTCATATGCTTAACATGCAGAGATCTGTCAAGATATGTTCGCATCACATGATTTTCTTTCGATAGACAAGCACTTAAATGCTTGCATAAGTTAAATGTACATTCAAAACAACTCATACGCTGAACTCATGAAAATCATACGAATGAAAACACTTGCAACGATCAACTGTAGTAAAATAATAAAAGCTTTTCTACTCAAGATGGAAGAATGCTCTGTATCATTGAGGATGTCTGCATCTACTTACTCATATAGATTCCTTTTTTGCCCTGCCTATTACAGACTCTGTTATTTAAACTGTATTTTTTTATTATGAGTCGAATCGTTTTGAATGTAAAACTGAAGAGGAAAAGTGAAAAGCACATATAAAATATAATTAAAACTCGTTTCACATATCACAGATACCGTATTCATACTTGTGAAAGAACACCGGATTCAATGGAGTATTACTGTTGCTAGCTTGTGAGGAGGAAAATAAATTTCGTTGTTAATCTGTGCAGTTCATAACGTTTTCCATAGACTATTATTCAAGCGCAGGAATAAGAATGTTAAGCTATGGAAAAAGAAATTCAAGCACTTGAGTTTACAAAAAAACTTCAAAATGTGTCTATATCACACCAATTTCTTGTTCAAGATACTCAAGAACTTCGTGAACACCAGGAAAAAAAGATCAACTAGGGTTGACATGATATTTAGCAATGATTGTTTTTTTCTGTTTTGTTTCTTATCATGTGTGCATTAAAGAATAAAAGAAAGGAATATTAAACATATATCAATATCAGATTGACAGTGACACAATAGTAATGTTATCTTTAATGTACTTTTATACATTCAAAACATCCATTTTATAAATAAAAACATATTTATAATAATGAGTCATACAAACGAAAAATGAATGAATAATATAAACTGCTGCTTATGAAGGTAAAGCATATAAACGTCGATTATACTTATGAACATATCTATACAATTTTTATTATTATTGCAGTGAATGATTTCTATTTTAATAATATTATTTACCCTGTTTGAATTGATATTGAACAACTTCGTATGAAATGAGAAGTTTTATGCGAAATTTGTGTCGAATAATTTATACTATCGAAAAAAAGAGGTATTTTCTTAAAAAATGGAAGAGCAAGAATCTAGCATTTTTGTTTGATTAATTTATAGCACAATCAAAGAAATAATACGCCTAGTCAAATAATTTATTATTTAAAATTTAAAAGTTTTTTGTTCAAAACTCCATTCTTGACATAGTGATAGTAATTTATTGTGAACTTATATTAGAAGTGTAAACAAGACTAGAGATGCATCAAATTCACTTCTTAGATTTGACTGAATTTGGTTGTTGCAGAATTAATTATGATAAACA